TTCGTTCATTTGCAAAGAAAAAAAAAAAAGAACAAAAATACTAAAACAAATTGTTTCACGTCGTTTGAATATTTATGTACTAATCAAGATCTTTTCTTTTGTATCCCTAAAGGATAGGTTTTTTATTCAATGTTTACAAGAATGAGTTTAGATATATACAAAAGCACGCACACAATTGGTAGCAAATAAATGCATTACTGTAAATTTAAAACTTGACTTATCACAATCTTATAACCATTAAACCATAAAACACAATTAACAGGATTTCCTTCATGACAAAAACATAGACATTGTACTAGAACGAGCGAAAAGTTACGATTAGACCGTTTAAATGCAGTTTGTTGTACTGATTAGTGGAGATCTTAGAGTATTTGCAACACTCTTTGAACTAAAATATGTGTTTAAAAAAAATTCACTTCATACATCTCTTCCCGGATCGTCAAAAATGATGTAGTCTATTGTCAGTTAAATACCCATTAATAGCTACTAATCATTAAATATATAAAATAAGATCATTTTTAAAATTATATTTTACATTAAATATAATTTTTCTTGGCATATGCTTTCCTGATGATGCAGCAGTCATCGAAAGCTTGAAAATTATCAAAATAAATATTGTGGATTTCGAAAGTAGGCATTTTGTAGCACTTTTATACTCTATATATACTTATTTATTTTCTACTACTCTTCCTATTGGATTTTTTACTAATCACCAGTACCACTCTCAGACGTATGGATTACTTCATCGAGACAAATTTCAATGACTTGTACAATTGAAGAAGAGAAAAATTTCAAGTCTTTGAAAAGAATCATTATCATATTTATATTTATATTAGTCAAAATAGCGAAATAAAAGATGAATGCTTCGATGATAAATGGTTAAAAACTGATATTTAACAGCCAACATTAAATACTAGGTTTTTCCCTCATATTTTACCTTCCCAAATGACATGTTAACAGGCAGTTAACGACTGATGCGAATGTGAGTTTCAAATACATACAGTTAAATGTCTGTTTTGAGGCTTTGATTTCCGTTGGAATAACGCACGAAAAACAGGCAGTTTTTTTACAGCTCTTAGCTGATTAAAAGTCTGTTTTTTAGTCATACAGGCTATGGAATAAGCTATTAAACTTCAGCCTTCATTGATCTGCGTCACTACTATCTTATATGTTGATAGCATCTTTTTTATCTTGTGTCTATCCACATATTGCATTAATATCGTTGTTTTCTTCCTGTGACAAGTACTGATGGAGTTTTAGATGTACCTATATGACTTCAAAACTCAAAATTTATTCCTCTTCACGACATATGTTAGCCTTAAAGAATAGAGACTCACATAAGTGTTCTGGTTCCAAGGTTACTCTGATAGTCGAAAAAGTATATTTCTTTGCTATTAGTTCGAATTACACATTTAAATGACCATTTTAATATGTCATCAGTGTTTTCGATATCTAAGTAATTCAACGAGGAATGTAACAGCAGAAATTTATTGAGTGAAGAATTATCAGAGGCTTCATTATAAAAAAATTATTCATAGAGTTTTTGAATAATTTTTTCCACATAAGGAGAGGACTTTTCATTAAAATTGTTGCATGTCACTAGATACTTCTGACTGCGCCTCCTCCAATATTTTATTCAAGTTTTTATTTGTTCTACAGTTCATGTTTTAGATGTAATTCGACTGATTGTGAACACGCCATTATATGGGTATAGGCCAAATTTTTGTGAGGAAACATTAGTGAACACACAATAAAGAGAAAAAACCCATCGGTATTCCATAGCAAAATAAAATAGTAAAGGAAAAGTGTCCGAAACTTTCGTGGGAATCTGAATTATTTTGCATTAAAAATAAATCTCCTTAGGTTCTGTTTAAAATCATAGTTCCGAACCGAATTTTTATTGAAGATTGGACTCTCAGTACGTTTTTCCTCTCTGTTTGAAACTACAGAGTAGACTTAGTCCAAGTTTTTATCAAACAAGCTTGACAGAAGAATTTTCATCGTTCAGTTCTGAATAGATACATAGTCTGGGCTCTTGCAAACAGTCTACTATTATTATCACTTTGTAGACATTATTCTCCCGACAAAGGCGGAACCAGTAGCACCAGACGAGTCCAAAGTCCCACTTCCCATTTTACTGATAACTCAAAGTTGAACTTTACATTTTGTATAAAATCCAGAGAAAACTTTTGTCTCGTTCTTAGTATTTGGAGTTCGTGGGTGAAATTTGTTCAAGTTACAAGAAACAATTGAACTGAAGAAGCCGTTCAAAATAGCGCTAGTTATACGAATAAGAGAAATCATTTTTTTTCGCTCAATTGTCAACTGTCCCGTGAGTAAAACCAGCAAGGAGAAACATAGTTTAAAAAAATTGAAAAAGTTTATACTTAAGACGGACATCCAACAGGATACAATTTTCGAGAAACCTGACCAAAAATTAAAAACACCGTCTCACTTTAAGCAGAAAATATACCTTTTCCACTTCGTATCCTGAATTTACAATTTTTTGTGACTAATATTTTCCGTTAAGTAACAAGTAGTTTTTTCATACAAATAGATCGCTACTAACTAAAAAACCAACTAATACAGGAAATCGCGACCACTAAACAATAAAAAGAAGCGACAGACAAGGAAAGAAGATGCCTGTCTACTTACAAAAAAAGTCAATAACAAACGTCAGTGATATCAACAATAATACAATTTGACTCTTATCTTGTCTGTCCAAAATTACTTTCGTTTTCTGTCATATCACTCTTTCTTATACGTCTAAAAAATGTCTTCCTATTAGTGTATACAGTACAACCAATAAATATCAGAGACGAGGTATGTAGAGGTCGCTCAATAAGAAACGCTGTCTATCCATACCTCTCTTTAGAACTTGAATTTCCACGAGCTATAGAAACATAAATTTCCAGTCGAAATAATGTACTATCTCTTGATAGTTCGGATATTTACACTAGATTAACCTTGATCGAGAAGAATGGCGCGTTAATTAATCAAACTTACTACGAACACTAGTCGACAGTCTGTTGTTTTTCAGCCAAGATTCTTGAATCTGTTCAAATCTGTCTAGAATCTTGCATTTCTCACATGACACATGTTGATTCGAATGTCAAACGAAGCATCCTAAACTCTTGAAAAAAGAATCTTGAAGAAAAGAAAGAAGACACAACAGAGTCCTGCATCAGTTAAGAGATTCTTGAAATTTTCATTTTTAGGAAGTATGAGTAATGTTCATGGCTACACGCATCATTTTAAAGATTTAGATGTGGTAGATCTTAAAGAAAAAACCTGCGTGTGTGCCTAGCGGAAGCTTCCACGAATACACGAATTTCTATTAAAAACATTTTTTTTAGTTTTGTTTTTGTGTTTTTTAAAAATTGTCGACTTGTTTCTTGTAATATGTTCATCACGATTAGTGACTACGATTATTTAACTCATAAGCAGATATCTGAATAAACCACAGCTCCATTCTTTCTACTGCTTTAATCTTTTGTTTTATGATCGTTTTAGAAAACTAACTTGGATAACGGACAAAAAAAGGTAGTCTATTTTCTAGGTACTCAAGCAGTAGATTAGAAAAGTTTTGTTTCGTAAAGTGTAATATAGAATTTGCGTTATTAATGTTAATGTCGCTGATTTTCTCGAACCTTAACACATATGTTCAAATTTACCAGTTTTACCAACTAACAGGCAATCTGGCAAACGATTTGTTTAAGCTTTATTTTGAGCAAATGCAAACGATTTATTGAGCATGGTGCTCCAGAGAACCTTTTCCAGGATCCTGATGAGATCTTTGACTATGATTATGGAAGTATAGCGTCTAACACATTGACTTGACCTATCAGAAATATAAATCATAAAAAGATAACCATATTTCAATCATATACTAAAGAAAGATCTTGACTAATTTAAATGGAGTCAAGAATCTTATCTGGAAAAAAACAGAATGTTGACTACTGAAGCCATGTCGTGTCTACACTGCTCGACTATCTAGTGGTTTGATTGGATGGTACCCCAACAAATATAACAGCTTCCCGCTAGCTAACGATCAAAAATAAGCTAGCGGCAGATTTCGAAAACGGCTAGCCATTAGTTTTGAAAATGTATAAAAATGATACGATAGCAGCATGAAAAGATAGATGTTAAATTAATTTTTGTCTTTTTTAATAAGGATACGGATTTTCTCATAAAAATCAGTGAAACTTAGTGAACTGCTCCATATTAATAAATTTTGAGTGTACATGCGACTAAAAAAGTTTTTCAACTTGATATTTAAAAGACTTCAATTCTTCAGCAATGATGGCAAATTCGGTACTTTCTATCTGAGGAGTCGCCAGTGGGAGTTTTCATTGGCAGTGACATTTAATAGTGGGACAGAATTACTAAAACCAAAATAATGAATCCTAACGTTGGCATAAGAGGAGAGCTAGAAATACTGGTATAAAGTTGACTTTTAACATTAAGAAAATAGAAGTTTAGAAAGAGAAACAGTTGATACGAGAAGGAATACAAACATACCTGAAATGATGACAGCGCAAAGAGAATAATATGGATGTTGAACCACATAAAATCTAGAAAGGGAGTTGAGATGGAGATAAATTTTAAAAAACTGAACAAGTCTAAAATATTTGCGACGAAGAGAAAGATTTGACGGCGGTCAAGAGAAAAAATAAGAAAATAGTCAAATTCAGGAGAAATAACATGAGCAGCAAGTTTATTTACAGAATCAAGAACAGTGAGAGAAAAAAATGAACTACCATAAAGGGCATATTTTGTTATAAACTATGTACAAAATGAATTGTGCGAAGAATTTCAATGAACATTGAAATGGTTTCACCAGAAAGTGATGGTAATTTATCTTGACCAATGTGCTTACATCGCACTCTCTAACGGATAGAAGAATTGTTTTTATATGTACTATAGAATTGATTGATTATGTTCGTACGACTTATTTTTATTTCACGCTTGTTATTTTAGATCAAATATCCAAGTGATCAATGGCATCTTCTTCACCAGCTATCATTAAACCAATTCGGAAGCGTAAACTAAAGCATTCTAATCACCATATTATGGTTTTATTAAAAGAATGGTTCCATGATGCAAAAGCAAATGGTTTACAAACGGCACGCTGTTATTCAAAGGTAATCAGTGAAAAAATAAGACAGTATACCAAGTAAAAGTAAAAATAGTTTTGGGTTCGATTATTGTCGCTTCTGTTAAAGCTTAAAACTAGTGTTTTTGCGAATAATCTGGAAAAATAACCGATTAATTTTTGTTTTGTCTCATTTAGGCAATGCGTTCTTTAGAAAAATATCCATTACCACTGCAGCGAGGAAGTGATTGTCGAATATTGTTTGGATTTGGTGAGAAAACATGTCAAATGATCGACCAGCATCTGAATAAGAAAAAACCAGATGGTGAGCAGAAATTGATGCATAAAGAGTAGTACATCAAATATCAATCAATCACTGTTTCCCATAGATGCCTTGCAATTAACAGATACAAAAACAATTTACAAAGCTGCTTCGGTTCCAGATTTTAATATGAATCAGCAACAACATGATCAAGATTCGGATGTTGGTAATAATGCCATTTTACCGTCCAAACGAAAAGCAACAACAACAGCTAGTAAAAATACGACGATCAAAAAGACCATTAGTTCTGGACCATTGATGGATACTGGTGGTGATGCAACATCTCAATTGCCTGCCAGTACAACAACAACATCGATGATATCAACCTTACTTGGTTCGAATAAACCAATGACAACAAATATAACACCACCAAATGCTATTTTAACACTGAAACCTTCAACATTTCGAATTATTCTCTGTATTGATAATCAAGAAGCGACAAGTTAGGTGTAAATTATTTCTGTTTATGTTTCCTACTATCATTTAGTCTTTTATTTTATAGACCTGCACAGAAAGTATTATTAGATCATTTAATGAAGAATAGTGTTGCATACGATGTTCGAAAATTAAATATAGGTGATTTTTTGTGGATTGTACAAGGTAAAGTTTGTTTAAAATTTTTTATGTCTTTTTTTTATGTTTCTTTATGTTGTAGCATTGAACGGAGATAAAGTTGAAGCCGTTCTTGATTATATTATCGAGCGAAAACGACTCGATGATCTGTCAAAAAGTATCGTTGATGGACGATATCAAGAACAAAAGGTATGTCGAGTATCTCCTTACAAATTTGTTTATTAAACTTTTTCTTATTACTTCAACAAGTGTATCTTAACTACAATAAGAAAAAACTTTTTTTGTACTTTTTAGTTTCGTCTTAAACAATGTGGTATTAATAACTTAATTTATCTTATTGAAAGTTTGAAAAATACTAATAATCCCGGTATTTTATCGCCTGCTGCCCTTAATCAAGCTATTGTTAACACTCAAGTAAGAAGAAATGATCTAAGAGACAATAATTTGACATGTTCACGCTCACTTTTATTTTGTTTTTTGTTTTTGTATTAGGTTGCAGAAGATTATTTTGTTCGCGAAGTATCAAATCCACTTGAAATGGCTTGTTATCTTGTTACATTAACTAAACATTTGATTGCACATTTTAAGGTAGTTTCTGTTTCAAAAACATTGCTATTATTGAATTATAACCGTGTGATCTTAGAACAAAACATTTCACGTTGTGTGTGGAGATGAAATGGGTAATTATAAGTCAACCTATGATAACAGTGAACATTATGTTATGACATTTGAATCATTCAATTCCGACGTTATCAAAACAAAAGTGAGTTTGAGATAGTTTAAAAAAAATGAAATAACGCATATCTTTTTCCTCGTTCAGCCACCAACTGTTAAAGAAATGTTTGCACGATCATTGATGCAAATAAATGGAATGTCTATTGATAATGTATTGGCAATGACTGAAATGTATCCAACACCAACATTGTGCGTAATCTTTTTGTATGCATTTTTTCCCTTCGTACTTAAAAAGTTTCTATTTTAGATTGCTTAAAGCATATAGTCAGTGTAAAGATGAGAAACAACGAAAATTAATGTTGGCCTCAATCAAAAAAGTAACAAGTAATAGGTAAGATGAGAAACAAAATTAATTTTATCTTAAATAATCAACTTTCAAATTCTCTTTTAGAAAACTTGGTAAAGCTCTTAGTACAGGGATTGAAATGTTTTTTAATAATAAGACCTATTGAAATGATACAAAATATACACTATTAATCTAGTCAAATAAAAAAAAATGTCAGATAGTTTTCTTTTATTTTATTGTATATATTAAATTTTTTATCTTTAAACGTGTTTTGTTCATTCTTCTTTCCATGTTAAATTAATAAAATACCATCAAATAGTATTTTATTTTTTGTTTTGATTGATTTTTCACTGTGATTTGCTTGTCATGAATTGAACATGTGGTATATTTCTAAAAATGTATACTCCACTTTACGATAGGTTTTACTATTGAACTAAATATAGGACAAAGTACACGTCAAATAACAATCTCATTTTCCCAGATATTGTGTTCGAAAGAGAGTGGGTGATTTATAGAAATGTCATAACAAATTGTAGCTTTTTTCTTAATTATCAATATTGCATTTATCTAGCAACATTATGAATAATCGGTAAAAGAAAGGTGTCATATAGTGTTCATGAAAAGTAACAGTCATCAATACTGATGTGAGTAAAAAAACTAGAAGGAAACTATTTCACGATAAATAATAATAATAATAAAGGTATATTCGTTTCAAAAAGTAGTCAAATAAATTTTTTCTTCTTTTACTTTTCATGAGTCCAAATCATTCATAGTTTACACACATATATCAGCTTTAAGACAAAGAAACGGGAAAATCTAAAATAAATTTAGAAAAACAGCACATATTGATTGATTATATTTTTGCTCTTAAATTAAACAAATTACTCTTTGTGTTTCATCCACATATATGATTTTAGTATTATGACTCCTTGCACTTGACAGAGATTTTTATATTTCATTATCTTATCTCACATGAAAGAGGAATGGTTTATATTCTTTTGTCTAAGAATGCATACTCGGACTGACTAACAAGATCAATACGGAAATAAATGAGTTTTTAAAATGATTGTTTTTGAGTAGAACTAAAATCCATCAGTTTATCTATGCCAAAAATTTTATTGCATAATTTTGTAGAACTTGCAGTATTGCATCAAATGATAGCTAGTTCAAAAATTTCTTTTATTTAGAATCGATTTTTGTTGAGAGCACAAAAGCGACTTTCGGTTTGCGAGCAATTTTCCAGGAATTTCTCATTTTCTCGAGTCTTCATCGATCTTCATGGACAATTTGTCATCTCTGAACAAAGCTAAATTTTTCGATCGGTTTTATGAATGTCAGAAATGTACTGAAGCATGTGAATATGGAAAAAAAGAAATACTTCAAAAAATATTTTCCCCCAATGAACGTTGGACAGTCAGAACACACCATTTTTCCATCTATCAAACTCATTTACTGTATGTTCGTATACTAACCATCGACGTACCCAGGATTCCAGTAAGGGGTAGGCCAAACCTTTTTTTGGCCAAAGAAAAAAGTTCTTGTGTAGTATTTTTATTTTCAATTTCAATCAAAATATTTTTTTCTACTTACAAGTAAAGAAAACGAAATTTCTAAGGGATAGGCCATGGACCACCCTTGGCCTAGTGCTGGGTACGTTGGTAATACTGACGAACTTCTTAGTTATAAATTAGATGATAGTACATTGCACTATTCTCGTGCCTGCAAAATAATCAATCTTAAATATCTCATTCAAAAGCTTGTCGTTTGTTGAAGTGAAGTTTTTGTTTAATTTTTGTGTCAACGATCAAAAATTTTGTATCATTGAAGGAAAAAAGGTTCTATATAGAAAAATTAGGTTTTTTTTAAAGAAATTTGTACAAATAGCGACTTCACAGGATGGAATAATAAAATTCTGGCTTTCTTTGTTGATTACGCGTCTCTACCGTTTAACCTCTAGAATCTAAATAGATAATTTAGACTCAACAGAAATTATTTCAGATAATACGATACTATGCATCAAGAAACAACAAAGAACACTGAGTCAATGCGTCAAGCAGATACTAGGTTATATGAAGCATCAATTCAAAGTGAACACTCATTGAGTATTCTGGGTATATATATTTGAGATCAAATATTAATGTAGATTTTATTGTTTGTTTCTTGTTTAGGTGAATCCTCAAGGGTAATTTCTCAGACACGCGAGAAATATAATTTAAACGAACATTTAATTCATACGTCGAAAGATTTAATTAATCAATATGAACGAAAAGCAAAATATGAAAAACTCATTATTGTCACTCTATTAGTCGTATATTTTGGTATTGTACTAAATATTTTTAAAAAGAGATTGCTTTTTTGAATTTATATTCTCGTGTTTTTTTTGTCCGTTTATTATAAATAATTTGTTATCTGTTATTTTTTAATATATCTTCAGTAAGTAAAATGTTGGAACTTTGTTCAACACTTTGATAAAATATTATTTTTTTCTACTATAACTGCAGTAAGAACTGCTGATAACATAATATGGCAATGTACGGATTTCAAAAACGAAGATTGAGAAGTTTTGTGTCTTGAGGAGATGTAGATTACATATTTTTTATCCTTTACGGATAATGCATTATTATTGTGAAGATACGTTGAATGACTCGATCATTCAACTCTGTTAACCGAACATAAATTTATCCTCTTGAAATCTTTGACAAGAAACGGCGTTCATAGCTCTCTGATGTCTTGATTAAACACATAAAATCCCTCTTAACTAAATGAGACATCTAGTTGAAACTCCCGAAAAAACTTCCCCAGAACTCCTGCCACGGGATGAAGAAAAAGACATACTGCGAACAGATGTCAGTTACATTTAGATCATTTACTATCTATCATTTTATTTCTACTGTAGCGCTTACGCGTGACTTTTAGAGGGTTACTACTTCTTTTTGATACGGTTGTTTACTGCCCATTTGCACAAGAGTGCAGCATATATCTTTTTTCTCGCTCTCATTTCCTTTCTCATACACATTTTTTATTTATTTTTTTAACCATTAATTCATTGCATAACCGTTCACTCCACTTTTGTAGTCAGTGTACGTGAAAAAGATGAAATCAAAGCATGATGCCTAAAGAAATTATTTAAAAGGTTGACATGCCGTAGACACATGGATACGTACAATCTCATCTCGATTTGTATGACTAAGACTAAAACCGTTTTATTCACGAAAAGTGAGAGTCATCAAAGGTCACCGCACTGTAAATTCGTGTTCCATATAAACGGATGACATTTTCACCCACTTATGTGTATCATAATCCATCAAAGTGGGTGATTCTCCTTTGTTTATCACTCATCACCCACTTTAAGAGTTCAAAAGTGTTATCCTACTAGGTGACCGGTAATCCACTTTTATAGGTGACACTCACTACAAAAATGGATTACCGATCACCTAGTAGGATAACACTTTTGAACTCTTAAAGTGGGTGATGAGTGATAAACAAAGGAGAATCACCCACTTTGATGGATTATGATACACATAAGTGGGTGAAAATGTTACCCGTTTATATGGAATACGAATTTACAGTGCGACCTGTAACAACAATATCATCTCTTGTTGCATTAAAAGAGAACGAATACACGAATCCTTGATACATCCGTCACTGACTCAACTGATTTTAACCTAAAATTAGACTACTTGTTTTTTAGAAGAAAACAATGTATAATTTAGATTAAGTAGAAATTCTTTCAAAGTTCGCGTATCCAAATTCGTATAAGAAGGGGGGCTTCCCCTAACATCTAAAACGGATAATGTTCAATATTTTTTTTTTTTTATGTTATTTTCTAAAAGAAATTTATCCGCCTGTATTAATTCATAGTTTGTCATCTACAAAAACTCTGAAATTTCAGACAACAAACGGTACATTTACTTTTTGTTTCATCTCACACGAAATGTTTCACTTTTCTTTTTGTATTGCCATTTACTTCGATGAGTATCATTATTACTAGATGTAAATATATATTTTGGTTTCAGAATTCATGTGGATACATATTTTTTTCTTCTCTCTTTTCTTTTCCACTACAGTAACTACTGTTTTTGACTTTAAATACATTTTTCTTCTCGATTCTTACATAAAGAGAATTCATTTTTCTCATAAGCATCAAACACTTGAAATAAGGATATTTTAACAATAAGTTCCTTTAATTGAGCTGTTTTACGTTTAGATACAATGTTTTTCTAATTTATTAAAATTATAGATTTATCATGTCTGATAATACTCACAGTACAACACATCCATTTTTTATTCGTTCGGGATGTAAGAAGATACTTTCCTACTTTAATTGTATTAAAATTTTTTATAAGACTTCTTATTTTTTTTCTTGTTTGAAGTTTCACCGTTCGTCATACTACCAACAGACTTCACATTTAGTCAAACATTCACTGGCCAAGATGAAAAAGCAGACAAAAATCAAACGTATGTTAATGACAACAAAAATAATAATCTCAAAGACAAACACGATCAAACAGGTATACGGACATATACATATTGAAATTAGACGAGAAAAAAAAAATAGTGATTTGCGTCAATTTTTTTTTTTTGTGTTTTTTGAATACAGTAAAATAAGACATATTATTTTTATATTAGAATATACTCTTATTCAATGTTAAGGACTACATGCATTGTAACATTGAATCCAAGCTTTGAAGGTTCTTTTGTAAATCAAAAAAGAAAGCAATTGTTGAACAAATTTATAAATTATTTTTATATTTTAAACTCGACTTGTTTGTACTAAAAGATTTATAAAGTTTTAACAAAGTCAAATTTTTAAATGAAACAGTTAGATTAGCGACTGTTACGAATACAAAACATTTCAGTTTGTAAGAATTATATATATTCTCGTCGGAGCAAGACGTGTTTTATAGTTAAAATCGCTCTAGTAAAATATAGATCAGTCGATACACATGATGAATTAAAAACTAAACTATATAGATTAATTTCTTAGATTCTATCAAATTTGCTGGAATAACTTGCTGTCATATTTTCTGTTTTTTTCATACTCTTTTCTGTTGCGTTACATCACAAAAATAAGTGACAGTGATAATTTGTGACGTTTTGTTCAAATACATAACTAGATGTTTAAAATTAGATACAATGCATTTCTCTTTTGTTTTCTTGATTAGAAATATTTGATGATAGTGGAAACAATGATAATAATACTGATACAATAACAAACGATGCGAATATTGATATTGGTATATCAAATGATGATGAAATAGAATCACTGATTGAAAATAATGATCTTCGTATAAATCAACCAAAATATGAACAATTATTAAAAGATCTTGATTTCAGCAAGAGTCGAATGGTAGACGTTACCGATATGTTAAATGGCGAAACACAGCCAAATACTAGTTATTACACACCAAATGAAGAAGAAACTCAACAATCATCCACGTCTGATTCCACATCATCTTCAACACCACCAGCACCCCAGGCAGCACACGATAATGAACAAAAATCTAATTTTTCTTCTCCAAATTTAATTGATGATATCATTGAGGATGTTCAAGATCACGATGACGACGAAAATCATGTACATGATGATAATTTTCAGAATGATTTGGATCGTTTAGCAGCTATTATTCAAGAAGCATCACAAAATGAACTAGAAAATCACGAACAACCACATCAGGATTATAACGTTTATTCGTCAAAAGAATTCACGACGACAGATTACGACAAAGAACCTGAGAAACACGAAAAAAAACAGATACTGGATGAAGATGATGATACTTCGAAACAAGCCACATCAAATTATGATTTGATAGACAATGAGCATCTACATACACAACAGGTTTGTATTTTTTAAAATGAAATACGCTAAGATCAGTGACAATAGTTAAATTTTTTTATTTTAGGATGTGCCATCAAAATCAAGTAAAATACCTCGTTCAACACGGCTTAGCAACCAATCTGAATATATATCATTAAGAAAAGAACCGATTCCACGTTATACTAATCGAGAAAAACACACACTTCGAACTCCACCACATTCATCGTTAATGTCGGATGGTACAACAAAATCGCTTAACAATGATATACAGCCAAATAATCAACAATCTTTCTCCATTAATAATACAATTTTTTCTCCTCACAATCAACAAAATCCGCCACATGTATCCTCGTTAACTCTAACACCATCCACTTCATCATCGAAAATTAATCCTTCTAATAATTTAAATGAGAATGTTAAGAATGTTATTGACAATCAAGAACATACAATAAACTGGGATAATTTAATTAACGGCAGTGTTGATGAATCAATAAAACCTGTTGTACTTGTTTTTCCTGATACATTCCCACAGCCGACTCGTCGTCAATCAGGCGAAACGAAACCACAATCAAATAATAGTTCCTCTCCAAAAAAGCATCAACAATATAAAAAGAAACCAAATACAAATTATCAGCATTTCTTTTCATCAGATGAAGAACAACCTTATTATATCCCGAGACGACCGGTGAAAAAATCAAATTCAACAGAAAAAGTTCCACCACGTTTATCTCCTTCATCGTCTACCTCATCATCTGATACCGAGTCAATAGCCACAGAAAATCTTGACCAGCAGCAACAACAACAACAACAGCAAAAAACTAATCGACCAGTTAGAACAGAGACAAACGTCAAAAGGCAGGACAGTCAAGCAACATTGATTGATGAAAATTTAGACGAACTTAGCAGTCAAATAAAAACAAATAAATTGAACGATGAACAAGGAAATGTTCATCATGAAACAAAGAATAGTTTAAAACAAACGTCGATTAAGAATGAGAAAACAAATGATGAAAAAGATAAGCAATCAATATTTGGTCCGAGGTAATTAAACTTGCAAAAATAAAAATCGATTGATGGATTTGTTAATAGATTCATAGGATATTCTGAATAGAATAACGTGATTTTTCATCAATAATCTCTGATGATTGAACCATTTTTATTGGATCATTTTATTTTATATTCTACAGAGATAATCTCATTACTTAAAAAAATACTTTTTTTTAAGTGATCGCGTATATACGACAGCAAGTGATATATTATTAAGACGTTTATCAAATCAAAATGTTGAAAAACAACAAAATCATAATGAAACATCTAATCGTCATTATTCATCTTCTGATCGTCATACTACCATACCAAATCGTTTATCAAATAATATTAATAAAGATACGCCTACATCTACTATTACAACAAAAACATCGAATTCATCGAAATTAACAAATGATAACAATCATTATTCATCATCATCAAAAAGTAATGATCAACAACCGACATCTAGGAAAATGGAGGTATGCTTTACGTTTACATGTGAGAATATTTGAAAACATTTTGAGATTTATTAGAATAGAAAAAAAATGATTAAATGTAAATTGTAAATCTATTCTAGGACACATGGCTAATAATGTTAGAAAAACTCGAACGAGAACATAAAGAACGATTAGAACGTCAACAAGCTGAATATGAAGAATATATGCGTAGTCTAGAGGAGAATATGAAAAAACGTTTTGATAATTATGTTATAAATTCAACAGTGAAGTGAGTATGGTAAATACATTCTTTTTTTTTTCTTTAAATTAACTATGTGAATTTAGTTCTTCAAATTTTGATGATAATCGATCATCCAATTCGTCAACATTAAGACAAATGCGACATTTATCACCTTACAAATTAAATACTAATAATTCGTCCTTCTCATCTTATCACAACAGATTAAATATGGCTATTGATCGTGCCTTAAAACATCGACATTTCAAACAGCCATCATCTACCGGTGAAAATTTATCAAATGATTTATTATCTCATTATTATCCAGCGGATTCAACTCTAAATGTAATAGCATCAACAAGTTCTTTTTCGAATCCAGCTGATACACATAATCGTACGGGATTATCACGATCACAATCGAAAGAAGATTTAATCAAGTATGTGAGAATTAGTTGACATAAAGAGCATTCAATAACTGAATATAAATAATACATTCAAGTAACGTTGACTTTAAATATACTTAACATGATTCTAATGCTCTGATGATAAGATAAATGAAACACAGAAACGTTTGTTGAGGTATTTTCTTTCGAAGAATATTTGAACGAACGTTGAGTTAACAAAATATTCTTATCCACCACTGTGTGTGGTAATTGTGTATATCAGGAAGAGACAAAAAAAAGTGTCTGTCTTTGAAATAGAAATATAATTAGGTTGTTACTTTGAAGGCATGTGCTGTGCTCTCCTCGTGATCAATTTGAATTCTCATTAGATAGCACGGATTTTATTTTCCTGTCTAACGGATAAAATAGAATTTTTTGGACCGTTTTTCCTCGATAGATTTTCACCGGCTCGTTGGTTTAAGCTTTAATCTTGAACCAGAACGAAATCGAGAATATAAATTCCCATTATATCATTCTGAAACTTAAACTATTAAAACACAAAATCAATCCTACCGGCTCGTTGTTTTGATAGTTACTAAACTATGCTTCTTGTTATTGATCTTACATTTTTCTCCAGTTCATGTAATCGGATATTTTCTTTCACTATTGATTATTTTCTTATAAGAGTTTTAACAAACTGTTTTGGAGTTTTAGTTAATCGTCCAGTGCTTGTTTAAGGTCTTTATATTCGTCATTTATTGTTGAGAATATGTATTATCATATCTAATGTTTAAAGGATTAAATATTTCCATAAGTTCTTTTTTTTTGCGTTCTCTAGTTTAATTATGTCAATGACTGGTTAGTTCTTTCTCCATTATTCTTTCGTCTAATACTTGTACTGAATGAATTATTTGAGTGTTATGATGATCACACGTATCACGGTATTATTTTCTTATTTTTTTTCTTCTTGTTTTTTGTTCTAGTGTAAAAGCTGAAATACATGCCAAACATAGTAAACATGTGGCAGATTTAAAAACATACTATGAACATGAAATTGATGAATTAAGACATGAACTAGAAAAATATCGTTTACAACTGACAAAAATGGGGTTAGCAAAAAAACCAATAAATATTAATTCGTAATAAAATAACTTTTTTATTTTTATTTTCTTATTTATAGATTAAAACCGTCAAATATTAATGGATTAATAAATACACCTGTTACCACATCGAAAACAACACAACAAGCTTATGAAACAATCGATCGAATTAATAAAGAAAATATTCATTTACGCCATGAAATCAATGAATGTAAAGAGACAATGGTATTTGACAATAGTCTTTAATAAATTTTCTTCTCTCCCATGACTATTACCCTTCTTTCTGTTGTAGCTCAACAAATTTAAAACAGGTCCGTGTGACTTTCAAAGCTAAACTCCTCCTCCTGTAATAAATGAATGAAAAAAAAAAAAAAAACAACTAGAAAATTGATTTATTTTTATTTTTTGCTAGTGCTTCTTATTCCATTCTTTTATCGAATTCACTAACGCACATGCCTTGAAACAGTCTAAATAATAGAGAAACCTATATGCTACAAGAGCTATGTTTGTTTAAACATTATTAGTAGTCTTTTGGATATTTTTAAATATCACGCTGTGCTAAAATTATAACAACGTTATTCTCGGTAGTAGGCGATTCTACTTTACATTGTGACTAAAGTTTGATAACAAATACAGAATTTTCTAAAATATAATGCTCAAAGATGAATGGAATAATTTTTCATTTGAGCTATATTCTATGAAACTTTCATCAGATATTTTATTCAAAATTTTTACAAGCATATTTGTAAATAAAGACATAAGTTAACAAGAGAGGAGAAGAACAGAATGGTGGCGCATGCTATAAACAAATATTGAAATTAAAAAATAAAACAAAATAGTTTTTCTATTTTTGTTTTTTTATTTTAGAAACAGATTGAAGATCAACATGAAAGTCGTTTGACATTGCTAGGACGTCAGATACAAGAATTACATCAAAATATTAGTGAAAAAGATCGAACTCTTGAAAATTACCATAGAACAATATCTCAGTTAGAACAACAATTAACACAAGTCGAAAATGTAAGTAGACGATTCTAATAGAGTACAATATTTTGTTTTCTAAAATTAATAGTAAACTATTTCAATTAAAACAAAATATTATTTTAGATTAAAGAACGTCAAGATGAAAAGAATCGTTCGAACGACAGAAGTTTATTTCTTTATCAAGAAGAAAATGAAAAACTGAAAACTGATTTAAATTTGACAAAAGTAAATATGAATTGATTTATGATCTATTTTCTCTCAGATATGGGTCTCACCCTCGTCAAACCCAGCAGAAAAAACAATAAAATGTGTCTGTTGATCTATTGTAAAGTGAATGACGTTTAACATAAGAATGTCATGAGGAGCTCGAACACATATCATTTTGTCTCGTAAAGTTTGTCCTATACGACTAAGTTGTGTGCAAGACATTTTCGATTGGACGCAAGCGACTTGATTTCTTAGAGTTATGATTTTTTAGAGATTTCATATAAGCAAATTTTAATGGAACTTGTATCACCACATTGTTTCTGATTAGAAATTCTTTTAGCTATTGAAAGTAATTTTTTGGATTTGTTCAGATTATTACGATCGAGCTAGAAACATTAAAAACAAATCGTTTATAATTTTACACAGAGCTGTGGAGTTACAAAAATAAATATTATTATGTAGAAAGAAATATAAATTTTCTTTTCTAGAACTATTTTATACTAAACATAATATTCTTTTGCTTTTAAGGAACGTTTAATGCGTATGGAAGAAAAATATTGTGAACAAGAAGATGAAAATGAAAAAATGACTCGTCAAATATTTTTGATGGATGGCGATTTAAAACGTTTAGAACAAGATAATATTCGATTAAAAAATCGGTAAAGAGAGTAAACAAATACAAACGAATATTATTTTGAAGTTTGAATATATTTTTATTTTATTCGTATATAGTGCGAATTTATCAGATATATTTACAAGTATGACAGATGATGGTAAATTAAATCAAGCCACACGAGGAATACCATCTTCTCGTGATTATGGACGATTTACAACAATAAAAAATAGTTCATCAGCATCAACAACGCCAAGATTAAATGATAACGTTACATCTGGACGTTATTCAGCAAATAATTTTCTTCATCCTAATAGTACGGTATCTGTTTAAAACTATCTTTCTATGACTCAAAGGCTTTTCCCACTCGACTTTTAATCAATCATTTTCATGCTAATATAATCTCTGGAGTCAGAATGTGACTAAAGAAGAGTAAAAAATATTCTTTTTAAAAAGTAGAATTTTTTCAAATCAAATTTCAATTGAAAAATTTGAAAAAAAAATCACTTTTTCGGAACTATCGATTAGGAACTGAAGAAAAAGGTGATCGATCAAGACAAAAGGTGTAAAAAATCAAGTGAAATAGAATTTTTTTGAAGTGTACCATCGATAGTTCAAAAACTCTATTAGCCAACTGTTCAGATGACTTTGTTTAGAAGAGAACAGTTTAAACCAACTTTCTAAGAAGATATCAGTAAAAAAAGCTTGTCTAACAGCTCGAGTAATTAAAATTAGGGTTCCCTGTCAGAAATATAGATGTTTTCAAAAAAAATCGATATTGTTGACTAGTCCAACGAGTCGACTCTTTAAATTCAGACTGTTTATGTCAAAAATTTCTGAACATTTTTAAAAGAAGTTTTCTAACAAGTCTGAAAAAGTCATCTGAGATCTTGATAGTTTAGTGAAATATTAACACTGAAAAGATTTTCAATGATGTTAGTTTGTAGAGAAAACATTTCTGACTAAAACGAAAATGTTCCTCAGCTCTGAGCTATGCTTTTGATCAAGTATCACTAATTTGGCTAATCGTTTCCGAGATAGCTTTCTGGCAGAAAGAGTCTTAAAAAGAAAAGTTTTTCGCCACAAAAATTCATTCTTTAAAATTTGAATATCGCGACTGTATATGAAGCTTCTTTTCCTGTTCAAGAGCCAATTAAGTTTCTTAAAACGAATACGCTATCAGTTTTTTGATATTAGTACTAGTACTTCTTTGCTATATACTGAGATTTAAAAATTTACTCTTTGATCGATCATATTAGACATATTTTATCTAAATAACATATTCTTACTTTTTTTTCCAGACGGTGATGATCTATTTCGTTCAAGAAATCACACAACATCACCGCGACCAATTACAAAAAATAATGATTATTCGAATAACAATCCATCACCACCCGTAAATGATAAACCTTCACATCACGATCACATTCCAAGTTCGTATAATTATATTCATTTAATGAAAACATTTTAGTTCATGAGTTTTTTTTTTCACAACATTAGTTTTATTATCAAGAGTGTAGAGGGTTCTTTATTTAAAAGATTTGTTTTTAGAAAATCATTCACCACCATCCAAAGCCTATTCAAGTACAAATTCATCTCGTCGACAAAAATCAATAGAAAAAGTAAGTGGATATTATGATTCTATTTATTATTATGTACATGTATCATATTTGGTTTTTTTTTCAAGAATGATGTGGAAAATCAAGTAAAACACGGTGAATATATGGAAAATCAATTTGATCAATTAATGAGAAAAAAACGTGAATTAGAATCTCGATTAAATCGTGTACCAACACGTGGATTAACAACAAATGATAGACAATTATTAGATTATCTTGAAAAAGAATTATCCACTGTTGAACAACAAATATCATCTGTTAAACTAGAATTAAGAAAAATGCATATATTAAAAACTGCTACACATTAATAAATAATCATGTCAAAATCAATAAAAACAAAAAAAAAAAAAAAAAAAAAACCGGCAATTAATTTTTAATGTTTAAAGAAGAGGGTTTTAAAGGTTATTTTTTTTTTAATTAAAAATTTTTTGATTTTTAATAAA